GAATGAATGTGTCTTTGCTTCTCATGTGTGATTCCTAGTGGACTTCCTGAGCCCAAGGATGAGTCCATTCTGGAAAGTCACCAGTCATTACCTCCTCAAACACTGCGTGTCCACTATCTCCATGCTTTCTTCCATCTACTTTAGAATAATTCCCTTAGATACATCCCTTCCAACTCACAAGTCCACTCTTCAGCTATGTCTAATCTTACTAAGCTGTGTTGAAAGAGCTCTAAGAGCCTGAACTCTAGTAGTTATGCTGTATCCCATTCTACCTGAATCCAAAAATCTATTTCTTCACCATACCGTTTTTTTTTTCTTTTATCTGTTGTGTTATCTGAGTTTCTAATTTAGGATTGTGAACCCGACCTGGGAGAATCCTGTGCGACCAGGCTAGGGATCAATACTGGGGATTAATTTATCTTCGAGTAGTTCCTAGACCACAAATTTGTGTGAAGGTTTTTAAGAATCCAGAAGGATTAAAAATTTCATCCTCCCCACTGTGCCAATGGGGTTTTTGTCTAGTTCCTGTGACACTGGGGCGCCTAGCTTTATGCCGAGGTTTTGGTCCCAACTCCTCCCCTGGTTTAGATCAACTTCTCCCTCCAAATCCAATTGCATGTCAGCCCCTGCCTGTTTAATTTCTCTAAGGGACTAACAACCACTCTGAAGGTTGCTACAAGCTCCGGGGCCTCCATGTTCACTTTCTTTGTTCCCAAAAGAGGTCATTCTCCTTTCCCAGGAGGTGATTACCTATTTACCGTTTTGGTTTTTTGTTTTTGAGACGGAATTTCACTCTTGTCACCCAGGCTGGAATGCAATCTCAGCTCACAACCTCCGCTTCCCAGGTTCAAGCGATTCTCCTGCCTCAACCTCTGGAGTAGACGGGATTACAGGCACGCCACCACGCCTGGCTAATTTTTCTATTTTTAGTAGAGATGGGATTTCACCATGTTGGCCAGCCTGGTCTCAAACTCCTGACCTCAGGTGATCCGCCTGACTCAGCCTCCCAAAGTGCTAGGATTACAGGTGTGAGCCACCATGCCTGGCCCACCTATTTAACTTTTTACTGTGCTATTTATCATGGGCAGGTGTTTGAAGCAGGAGTTTGGTTCCTTAGTCCACCATCTTGCTGGAGCCACTCGTCTCTAGAGCCAAGGCTAAGGTGAACATGACTATTGAACCTTAAGCAGCAATGGGTTTAGCTATTCTCATGATAAAAAAAAAAAAAAAAAAAATCCTGATGTGACATATTCCCTCCAGGGAATGGCAGGGAGACACCACTGATGTGTTCCCTTCTGTGTCCAGACAGACACCAGGAGGGTAGCCCCTCTACACTCAGGGACTGTTGGAAGAGGCCAGGCCACGCAGTCCAGTTGCAGCCACTCACGGATGAGGGGCTGGGCCTGTGCCTGTCTTGCTAAGAGAAGTTAAACCATTATCAGGATCTCCAGACCAACACTGGCAGGGTCACTGATCCTCAAAACACAGCCAGTTAGCTCCCTGGCCAGGTGACAGTTAAGAACACCCATCTGGTTCCTCCTTTGCAGGACAAAATCCTCAGGTCAGAGGCCACAGCAGTACCAGGTGAAGGGAGGTTTGTTTTTGCAGGTCTGCTCTTAGCAGCCAGGCCTGGCCACTGCAGCTGGGCAGGGCCCTGAATGTGCACACGCAATGAAGTGTAACTCTTACGCAGCATGTCTAGAACACACCAGAAAACACATCTAGATAATGCTAAAGCTCAGCAGGGCTGCCTTTTCCACAAGTGAGATCCAGACTTTAGTAGTTTTTAAAAGCCCCAGGTGATTATAATTCACACCCAGGACTGAAGTCCACTGGTTTGAACTTTATGTTAGGAGTCTATCCCACCCGATCTCAAATGTCTGAGATCTCCCATTAAGATTACAGGGTCCCTGGTTTACCCCCAGACTGATTCAGTAGGTCTGGCGGTGAGGCCAGGGAGGATGCATCTAATGAGTACCCAGGGCAATTGACTCAGCAGCCTGCCCACTCAACTCTCTGCAGGCCCTCTTGGGCAGCATGGGAGACACGTTCTATAGAGCATGGCAGCTGGCATGGGGCCAGGGGGAGCAGAACAGGACTGTAGGCCACCCACAGGGAGGCTGTCCCAGTAGCTGGTCATCTTCTTGAAGCCTGGCTGCCCTGAACTTCTACAATAGGCCTGGTGCCAACCTGACATTACAAATCAAATGACCTTCACTGAACGCTTTTAGATGTAAAGGCAAAGCTCTCTACTAGGTTCCTCTGGGACACAGAACACACTTTTACCCAAGATACCATCCACCCCAAAATACTTCAGTTCCAATTAGTTTATTTCCCCATGTACCAGTCACTTAAATACCTGATCCTTGGAGGCCTTATGCTTAGAAATATAGAGACAGATAAAAACCTGTGCCCTCAAAGACAACTTTCTCTTACGAGCAGCACGGGAAGGAATCTTCATGAGAACACAGGAATTGGAAGCAGCACTTTCTCTTACGAGCAGCACGGGAAGGAATCTTCATGAGAACACAGGAATTGGAAGCAGCACAACCTCAAACACTAGTCCCAGTCTCCTCCACCAAGGAAACATCATCTCCCCCATGAGGCCTCTCCCAATCACTCCCACCCACCTTAGAATTCTCTGCTGCCCCATCACTGCCCAACACTTTAGATCTACTCATCTATCAGTTTTCCTCTCTAAGAGTAAACCCAAGCTGCAGAGGGAGGGGCCTCCCATCTGGCTCAGTGCCCCACCTTCCTGAATTAAAATGCAGGTGGAAAACGGCACCTGACAAGAGAACTGCTCTCTTCTCACTGAATGGCAGTGGCATGAGGTACAAGGAATAATAATTGGTTCGTTTGGGGATGGATGGGTGTCATTAATTCTAAAAGGCTTTATCAAAGTGGGTGGGATTCCGAGTCAGGAAAGGGCCTTTATAGACAGAGGGACCAATCCAAACCTGTGCTGGAGTCCACACAGGCCAGGTCAGATGAGGGACAGCAAAGCAAAAACTCCAGCTGGGAAGACCTCTAGCCCCACCTGTTTTGCAAATGGGAAAAGAGGCCCAGGAGTGGCTCCCCCACAGTTGAGAAGTTAACTCAGCCCCGACTTCACAAACCCCACATGCAGTATGGTAGTTAATATTTTTGGGCACCACCTTTCGGGTGTACCTGTCTCCTATACACCTTATGCCAGAATAGGCACAAGGCAAGTCTCTTGCCCAGAACCAGTGGAAAGAATGAATTCGTTAGCCTTTACAAAAAATACTCTTTTTTTTTTTTTTTTTTTTTTTAAGACAGTCTCACTCTGTTGCCCAGGCTGAAGTGCAGTGGTACAATCTCCCGGGTTCAAGCGATTCTCCTGCCTCAGCCTCCCAAGTAGCTGGAATTACAGGCACGTGCCACCATGCCCGGCTAATTTTTGTATTTTTAGTAGAGATGGGGTTTCACCATGTTGGCCAGGCTGATCTCGAACTCCTGACCTCAGGTGATCCACCTGCCTCAGTCTCCCAAAGTGCTGGGATTACAGCCATGCCTGGCCAAAAAATATTTCTCTTCCTGAATTAAAATGCAAATTTTACCAATCAAGAAACTGACATAAGAACCGTTTTATTTTAATCACTTAACACTTGTGCATTATTCAATTTTGAGATTGAAATACTTGTTTCCCTTTCAACTGATTAGGAAATGGTCTGAGTTGGCAGAAGTTAATCCTCACATTATTCAGCTAATGAGACACAGAACCCTAAAACCTGATTCCAACTTCCGCCTGAACCTCACAATGCAAAGCAAAGCCTTTCATTTTAATGTTGTACAAGTATAAGGACAATGTAATCTGGATTAACTTTAGGTAACAATAACTTCAGATAGGAAAATGTATCATATTACAGAGATTTAAAAATTGACTATACAATAAATGAAGAAGAAAACTAACAATAGAACAGGACAATGTTCAAATAGCAAATACAATGAACAAATGGGGCCAAAAGATCAACATTTATCTCTCATCATCTTTCTTGCAATGTCTCAGCTTTCTTCTCCCAAACATAAAGGAAAATTAATTCAAAGTAGCCCTATTAAGAATATTTGTTTATCATGCCTGTAATCCCAGCACTTTGGGAGGCCCAGGTGGGCGGATCACCTGAGGTCAGGAGTTCAAGACCAGCCTGACCAATATAGTGAAACTCCATCTCTACTAAAAATACAAAAATTAGCCAGGTGTGGTGGCACATACCTGCAGTTCCAGCTACTCAGGAGGCTGAGACAGGAGAATTGCTTGAACCCAGGAGGCGGAGGTTGCAGTGAGCCGAAATCGCACTACTGCACTCTAGCCTGGGCAACAGAGCGAGACTCCGTCTCAAAAAAAAGACACAGTAAATATAAATGAATTAACTCACACAACCTACTTACAAACAAAACTAGAATAAACAACAACTTGTAGGAACCACCTCTAGTTGATTTCACCACTTAACAGGGGCAAGATCTTAGGTGGGTCACTTTGTTTAAGGATGACTTGAAATTTTACAGTACTACCTTAGATCCCACATATGCAAACTCTTCAAGAATTTTTTATCAACTAGAAGTTGAGGAAAATACAGTGAGAAATCAGATGAAATGGCTTCTTACACATATGAAGGCCCAGATCATGCCTAAATTTCTAATGATTTAACTTAAGAAGCTCCTTGTCCTGAGAGATTCCTTTAACCCACAACACTACTCAGATGGCGCAGAGAATCCCAGGACACTACCCAAGCCACAGGATAAAAACACAACCTGTCTTCTATCTGGCACCAACAGACTAATATCTAGCTATACACGGGACTGACTTTAAAGTTGGTTAACGAGTATTTCAATCCATTAAAATAAAACTTAGAAATTACATGCTTAGTCTACACAAGTTTAACTTACTTTAGTCACTTAGTGAACTGTGAATTGGCTCCCATTAGTGGTCAGAATGCTTTGTATTTGGTGTAGAAACCAAATAAATCAAGCTATTATTACCGTGTGAGTACAAACAATGTTTATTTGTTTGTAAAGTGCCAGTTTTATATTTAAGTAAACATTAAAATGTGCGTTGAAGCAGTGAGGCTGCATCTTTCAATTGCCTGTGCTGGTTAAAAGACTGTTTAATCCTGCTGTGCCAAGCTCACTAAAGGGTCACCCCTCACTTTAAAGCCAAGACTGCCATTGTCACTGCTATGGTAAGTCACAGCCAGCCAGGCCTGCTGGCAAAAGGTGATACTACCAGCACTATACATAAACAGGACTGGTTGTGAGGTAGCTACACAGTTTTAAAGATGCTGTTAATGAACATTATGGACAATTCACGGTGTGGCTAGTTGGTAACACTTCAGCTGATTTTCTTTATGAGATGGAAAAAAAATCAGCAAAATAAGGGCATATCTTCAGTTCATTTAGAAGTCAGCATCCAAGGTAAAAGAATTCTCTGTTGGACTTGACATCACTCCCATCCTCTGATACTCGCCTACTCTCTTCTCAAAGAAGTTAGTCTTTCCTTCCAGTGAAATATTCTCCATAAAGTCAAATGGGTTCTCTACTCTGAAAACCTGAAAAGGTTCACATCAAGATATAAATACAGAACACCAGTTTCAAAACAAGCAGAAGCCTATGTAAACAATACTTTACCTTGCTAAAACCCAGTTCCAGCATAAGTCTGTCTGCCACAAACTCAATGTATTGCTTCATTAGAGTGCAATTCATCCCAATTAGCTTCACAGGCAAGGCCTCAGTGAGGAACTCCTAGGAACCAAAATATAGCTTCTGAATACAACTAAAGCTCAGGCATTTTCTAGCAAGCCTGAGTAACCCATTTCATCACCCACTTACCTGTTCTATCCGAACAGCATTGATAATTATTTCTCTTACTCTCTCCTCTGATGGTTTGTGTACCAGGTGTTTGAACATCAGGCAAGCAAAATCACAGTGTAAACCCTAGAAAAAAAAGTTCAAGATCACTAAAGCCAGAAGACTTCTGTCACTAACATGGAATATGAAATTACTTTATCCTTTTCTGCATTCTCCTTATCCAACATGCTCAGCCATACTGAGAGCACTTGAACTCTCAAAGGGAAGATGACTTCAACTACGGACTTCTCTGCTCATGTCACCAAGGCAAGCTCAGTCCCATTCAAGGGCCTCAAAGCTGCCACCTAGATGAAGATAGGCAAGGTCTATTTCTTGCTCTGCTGTGTGGTGGCAAAGGAGGAGTCACAGCTTCACTCAAAGTGTTCTTTCTCCAGCCATGAGTGCTAATTTTGCCACTACTTCAGCAGGAAAGGTAAAACTCAGTAATAAGGCTAGTTTTTAGATGCTCAGGAAATTTGTATGCAATTTCAAGCAAATCAAGTTTGCAAGTGAGTGCATTAAACACCAAGCTTCACAGCTTACCTCCTAATCCAATAAGGAAGGTCCTCCTACAAGGTAACCAAGTTTGATTTGCCTACTGGGCTCCAAGTAAGATGGAGTTAGTTCATGCTCCTGGCTTTTCAAATATGACTTAATCAAAGACATACACTAAACCAAAATGTATACTCATTTCACCAAGATGCTTATTAACATTGAAGTTGAAGGGCAATTTCTAGATCAAACAGGAAAAACATAATGGCTACTATGAACATTTTTTTGGGGGGACACAGTCTCGTTCTGTCACCCAGGCTGGAGTGCAGTGGTGCAATCTCGGCTCACTGCAACCTCCGTCTCCCAGGTTCAGGCAATTCTCCTACCTTAGCCTCCCAAGTAGCTGAGACTACAGGCACATGCCACCACACCCGGCTAATTTTTTGTATTTTTAGTAGAGACAGGGTTAGCCAGGATGGTCTCCATCTCCTGACCTCGTGATCCACCCGCCTCAGCCGCCCAAAGTGCTGGGATTACAGGCATAAGCCACCACGCCTGGCTTTACTATGAACATTTTTATGGAAAAGGGGATTACATATAATACCAGGCAAAAATAATAAAACATCCCTTAAAATCCCAATCCCATCAATATCTTGTAGTTTTGGCTGGGCATGGTGGCTCATGCCTGTAACCCCAGCGCTCTGGGAGGCCGAGGCGGGCGGATCATCTGAGGTCAGTTCAACCCGAGCCTGGCAAACATGGTGAAACTCCGTCTCTACAAAACTACGAAAACTAGCCGGGTGTGGTGGCGGGTGCCTACATTCCCAGCTACACGGGAGGCTGAGGCGGGATAATCACTTGAACCTGGGAGGCAGAGGTTGCAGTGAGCCGAGATCACGCCATTGCACTCCAGCCTGGAGCGACAGAGCAAGATTCCATCCCCTCAAAAAACAAAGAACTTGTAGTTTTATGCATTCAAAGCCTATGGGGCAATATATATGTACTAATGTATTACAATATATTGAGAATGCAAGTAAAATAGTTTCAGTAAATTAAAGTATTTCCTTCTTTTGTCAAGTATGTGTATGGTTGAACTCACACATTAAATGTGGATATATGCCGTCTAGTACCCCAGGTCCCCATCAGTGAACACAAGAGCATGCCCGAGTTGTGTTTGGGGTTTAGGTCACCCTATTATTTGATTTAGACTCACCTCATCTCTGCTGATAAGTTCATTGGAAAATGTGAGGCCAGGCATCAGTCCTCGTTTCTTGAGCCAGAATATCGATGCAAAAGAACCAGAAAAGAAGATGCCTTCCACTGCAGCAAAGGCTACAACACGTTCACCTATTTAAGAGTTAACACCAAAATGATTCTCGTGAGTTGGTATTCAAGGGCCAACAATCCAATATCATTACTTGGAAAATGAAGCTCAGGTTTAAGTAGCGGCAAAGGTCTCCTTACCATAGGTAGCCTCTTTGTCCCCAATCCAGCGCAAGGCCCAATCTGCCTTCTTCTTGACACAAGGCATCGTTTCAATGGCATTGAAGAGAAATTCCCT